AGCCTCTCCAGCATTTGTTATAGGTGGTTTTGTTGATCTTGGCCATTCTTTCAGGAGTGAGATGAAATCTCAGTGTGGTTTTAATTTGCATTTTTCTAATGACTAGTGATGCTGAACATTTTTTCATATATTTATTTGCCATTTGTATTTCTTCTTCTGAAAATTGGTTATTCATCTCCGATGACCATTTTTGGATGGGGTCTTTGAATTTTGGGGGTCTGATTTTTATTAATTCTTTGTATGTTTTAGACAGAAGTCCTTTGTCTGAGGGACAGTTCACTAGGATTTTTTCCCAGTTTGTGGGTTTTCTTTTACTATGTTACAGATTTCTTTCGATGTGCAGAAACTTTTTAATAAGATGTGATCCCAGTTATTGACTCTGAGAAGTATTTCCTGTGTGGTTTGAGTCTTGTTCATGAATTCTCTACCTACCCCTATGTCTTCAAGGTTTTTACCCAATTTGTCTTCCAATAGATTTAGTGTTTCTGTTTTAATATTTAGATCTTTGATCCATTTAGATTTTATTTTAGTATATGGTGACAGGCATGGGTCTAGTTTTAGTTTTCAGCATATGGAGAGCCAGTTTTTGCAACACCATTTATTAAAGAGACTGTCATTCTTCCAGTGAACCTGTTTGGACCCTTTATCAAAGATGAGGTGGTTGAGTGTGTTTGTAGATGTGTTTGTATCTTCTAATATATTCCATTGGTCTTCAGCTCTGTTTTGATTCGAGTACCATGTTGATTTTACTACAGTTGCTTTGTAGTATAACTTCAATCAGGGATTGTGATGCCTCCTGCCTTGCCTTTGCTGCTTAGAACTGTCATTGCTATTCTAGGTCTCTTCTGGTTCCAGATGAATTTTAGGATTGATTTCTCGAGATGTATGAGGTATGTTGATGGTATTTTTATCGGGATTGCATTGAATCTGTATAACAGTTTTGGGAGAATGGCCGTTTTCACAATATTTATTCTTCCTATCCATGAGCAAGGGATGTCTTTCCATTTCCTGAGATCATCTTCAATTTCATTTTTCAATGTATTATATTTTTCCCTGTATAGGTCTTTCACTTCTTTCTTGAGAGTAATTCCTAAATATTTCATTTTCTTGGTTGCTAATGTGAAGGGTGTGGCTTCTCTTATTTATCTCTCTGTGATTTAGTTGTTAGTATATAAGAATGCTATTGATTTTTGAGTATTGATTTTGTATACAGCCATATTGCTGAATTTATTTATTATATCTAGGAGTCTTTCAATGGAGTTTTGGGGGTCTTCTATGTAGAGTATCATATCATCTGCAAATAGTGATCGTTTAACTTCTTCTTTTCCTCTCTTTACGCCTTTTATTTATTTTTTCATGTCTAATTGCTCTGGCTAGTATTTCCAGCACTATATTAAATAGGAGTGGTGACAGGGGATAGCCTTGTCTTGTGCCTGATTTTAAAGTAAAGGCCTTCAATTTTTGGCCATTTAGTATGATACTGGCTGTTAGTTTGTCATAGATGGCCTTTAGTATGTTGAGGTAAAGACCATCTATTCCAATTTTCTGTAAGGTTCTTATCATAAATGAATGTTGTACCTTATCAAAAGCTTTTTCTGCATCTATAGAAATGATCACGTGATTCTTACTTTTGACTCTATTGATATGGTGGATTATATTTATTGATTTACATATATTGAACCATCCCTGCATACCTGGAATGAATCCCACTTGGTCATGGTGTATAATCTTCTTGATGACTTGCTGCATCCTGTTTGCCAATATTTTATTGAGGATCTTTGCATCTGTGTTCATTAGGGGGATTGGTCTTTAGTTCTCTTTTTCAGTTGGGTCTTTCTCAGGTTTTGGTACTAGAGTAATATTTGCTTTCAGGAATGACTTAGGAAGGATTGCTTCCCTTTCAATTTCATTGAAGCGTTTGAGGAGTGTCGGCATTAGGTCCTCTTTGTGTTTCTTGTAGAATTCTACAGTGAATCCATCTGGGCCTGGGCTCTTCTTTGTAGGTAATGACTTAATTACATTTTTGATTTCATGAATAGAAATTGGGTTATTCAGCAGTTTTACTTCTTCTTGACCTAGCTTTTGTACTTCATATTCTTCTGGAAATCTGTCTAATTCTTCTGCGTTATCTAACCTTTGAGAGTAGAGGTTTTTGATATAGGTGTTGATGATCTTCTGTATTTCTGTTGGGTCTGTAGTGATTTCACCTTTTTCATTCCTTATTGCATGAATTTGAGCTTTTTCTTTCCTTTTTTTAATAAGGTTGGCTAGGGGCGTATCAATTTTATTTATTCTTTCAGAGAACCAACTCTTTGACTCATTGATTCTTTGTATTGTTTTCTTAGTCTCTATTGCATTAATTTCTGGTCTGATTTTTATAATGTCCTCTCTTCTTTCAGCTTTGGGCTTGACTTGCTCTTCTTTTTCTAGCTGTTTGAGGTGTAGCATCAAGTTATTTATTTGTATTTGTTTGGTTTTCCTGATGTGGGAACTCAGTGCAATAAATTTCCCTCTGAAGACAGCTTTCATTGCATCCCACGGATTCTGGCAAGTTATATTTGTGTTTTCATTTGTTTGTAGGTATTGTTTAATTTCCTCTGTGACCCACTGATTACTCAAGAGTGTGTTAATTCATTTTCCATGTGTTTATGGGATTTTTGCAGTATCTTTTATCATTAATTACTAATTTCATAGCGCTATGATCTGATAACATGCAGGGGATGATTTCAACTCTTTTGCATTTCTTTAAATATGTTCTATGAGTTAATATATGGTCTATTTTAGAGAATGACCCATGTACTGCTGAGAAAAATGTGTATTCTGTTGTTGTTGGGTGGAATACTCTGTATATGTCTATCAATTCCATTTGTTTACAGGTGTGATTCAGTTCTTTTATCTCTTTGCTGATTTTCTGTCCTGTTGATCTGTCCATTGTTGTCAATGGTGTGTTAAAATCTCCTGTTATAATTGTATTACTGCTAATTTGGTTTTTCATTTCTGATGTTACATGTTTTACATAACTTGGTGCTTTGGAATTTGGTGCATATATATTTAAGATAGTTATCTCTTCCTCTTGAAGTTTTCTCGTAACCAATATGCAGTGACCTGCTTTGTCTCTTCTGATCATTATTGGTTTGAAGTTCACATTGTCTGCAAACAGAATAGCTACCCCCCTTTTTTTTTGAGTTCCTATTGAATGAAGTATTGTTTTCCATTCTTTGACTTTCAGTCTGTCAGTATCCTTTTGGGTTAGATGGGTTTCTTGTATACAGCATATGGTTGGATTTTGTTTCTTGATCCATTCTGCCAGTCTATTTCTTTTAATTAGTGTGCTGAGACCATTTACATTAATGGTTATAAGTGTTATATATTGGTTTATTAGTGAGATGTTATCTTTCTGCTGTTGCATCTTTATCTTTTTGTTCTATTTGATTGTCTGCTTTGTTAAATGGTTTTTTCTTAAGTGTATCTAGACTGTCTTTCAGTATTCTTTGCAGGGTTGGCTTGGTGATCATGAATTTCTTTAGCTGTTCTTTGTCATGGAAGTATCTTATTTCTCCATCAATTTTGAAGGACCGTTTTGCATGGTACATTAGTCTAGGTTGGAAATCATTTTCCTTTAGGGTCTGAAATATTTCACTCCATGCTCTTCTTGCCTTTATTGTTTGTGTTGAGAACTCTGCTGTGATTCTATAGGTTTTCCTTTATGGGTGATATGTCTTTTATCTCTGACAGCTTTTAATATTCTATACTTTTGTTCAATTTCTGGAATGGTGATTATTATATATCTGGGTGTAGTTTTATTTTGGTTATGGCTATTTGGAGTTCTACATGCTTCATTGATCCTGATATAAGTTTCCAATTTCATGTTTGGGAAGTTTTCAACAATTACTTCTTTAAATATCCTCTTGACATCCTTTGTATTGTCTCCTTCTTTTTCATTTATCCTTATCAACCTGATGTTGTTTTTCTTTGCGTCATCTTGCAGGTGTTGTATTGTTATTTCTTGATTCTTGTTATTTTTAAAAGATCTTTCCTTTCCTGTTCTCTGGCTGCAATCTTGTCTTCGAGGTCCGAAATTCTATCTTCGCATTCATTCAGGTGGTTTTTACAACTTTCAATGTTGCTTTTGATTTCCTGTATATCTCTTTGCATCTGTTTTATATATTCTGTTTGTTTCTTATATTGTTCATCCAGAGATTCTATCCTTTTGTTTAGTTCCTCCAATTGTTTAGCTGTGTCTTGTTTAGATATGTTCAGCATCTCCTTCATTTCTTTTATTATTTCTTTTTTTACCTGATATATTATTTCTAGTTTGAATTCCTTCAAAGCTTCCCAGAGCTGCTTCTTTATTTCTGTTACTATTGTTTCAGGTATTTCAGGTATATGGCATGTATTTTCTTCTATGTACATGGCTCCTAGGCTTTCTTGGGGTGATGGGTTGGATGTTTGAGATTGAATTTTGGTCTTTGTCATTTTCCTATATTACTGTGTTTCAAGTGTTGTTTCAGGGTTTCCCCTGGTTGTGTTGTAAACTGACTCTTATGTCCTGGGCTCTTGGGACTCCTTTTGTAGTAGCTCCCTCCTTGGGCCACAGAGCCCCTGGATTAAAAGAGGCTTTCCAGGCTCCTCTCAGGTAGACCTAAAGCTTCCTCAATTTGCAGTATCAGGGCCAGACCAGAGTCACCTCCACTCAGCTGGATGCGCACCTTCCGGTCCCCAGAGGTGGTAGTTGGGCCCTGGGTGGGAGAGGCGGCAGCAGGGCCGGCCTCCGCTCAGCTGAATGCACACCTTCCAGTCCACAGGGGTCATAGTATGGGCCCCAGGTGGGAAAGGCAGCAGCAGGGCTGGCCTCCGCTCAGCTGATATATAAGTAACCTATTAACTAGTGATTTCTTACTGTATTTTTTTCTTGAAATTATGTAGTATGTGTACATTTTTACTGCTTCATTTTTTTATTTCCTTTCTTTTTTCTCTTTAAATAAAAAAATAATCAAACCTGGAATGCATATCTTTTATTTATTTATTTATTTGGTACTGGAGATCAAACTCATGACCTCACACTTGCCAGACAGTTGCTTAAGCCACTGAGCTAAATCCACAGCCCCCCAATGTATATTTTTTACATCTTGTTATCTTCAGAGTAGTTGCCTCTACTCTTGGACTTGATACCAGTAAGCAAAGCAAATGTGAATAAATTCAGTCAAGGCCAAATATCATTCAAACAAAACAGCTTCAAAGAAGATCAGTCATAGAGGACCATGTAAGTAATACCAGGTTCCTATTAACTTAGTTTAAGTTAATAGGAAATTAAGGATAGTTACCATGGTATAACCTGCTGTTTTGGGGTTATCTCTCTGTGTGCTCAAGTCTAATATAAATAGACAGACCAGAGCAAAATGTAATCAAACTAAACAGAGCAATAAGACTACCGTAGCTTTTAAATCCCGATACACTTTTTTTAAATCTTTTTTTTTTATTTAAGAGGAAAAAGAGAAAAACACAAAACAAACCAAGGTGGTGTAAGGGTACATGTAATACAGAACTACAAAAAAAAAAACATAACAGTAAGAAATCACCTGTTAGTAGATTACATATTATCATCTTGAAAATAGTTCCTCAAATCACAGTATCAAAGAATACAAGGTGGACATTCAAACAGGGAGACTGCAAACAGCTGTGTTCAATGATCCAAAAACATTGATATAGTCAGCTATTTAACACCCCTAAACACACTTGCTGTTACATCCGTTAGAGCTCTTTTTCTTCTTTTTTTTCCCTCTCTTTTTTACAACAAAATTTACACATTTTGGATTTTATTACTCCTTAGTGCTTATTACTTTTTTTTGGGGGGGGGGAAGAATACAGTCAAATATTGCAAAACAAAGCTGTCAGTCAATACCAAGGATAGACATAGCACATGGTGTAGAACAGAGTACAAGTTTATCAACAATGGTTATCAACGTTGTCCCTTGTTTCCTTAAAAAGAATTGTCTATCTCATTAGATATTATAAAGTTGGACAAAACAGTAGAGAACAAGACCAATAAAACTTAGGCATTGTAAACATTACAGGACTTCCAAAGAAGACAATAGTCAAACAAGAATGGGTATCTTAGTGAATCTTATTGTCTTCAAAGTAGTTGCCTATGTCTTCAAACTTGATACTATCATATAGAATGGAACAGAGTCTAATCACTTTTAACAATGTCCTCTGCCTTCTTTTATTAGGCAATTCCTCAACTTTCTCCTTCTCAGGATGCTATTATTCACTGTTCAGAGTGATATTAGTCTAGTTTCTTATGCTCAATTTGAGCATACCTAAAGATAAAGACAGCTATTACGAAGAGAATGAGAGACATTATCGTAGTCATCTTCGACTTCCTCAAAATAAGTCTTGAAGACCAAAAAAGCCTGCATCATTCTGTAATTATTTGCTTAGATCTATAGTGTTCAGTATATATTTAATGCATGTGAAGATGGGAAAAACTATTTGGAAGAAAACTAGAGACAGTAAGATAAACAGTGAACATCTCCAGTGGACTTGCTTTGAAATCTGTGTTTCCTTAACTAGTTTTCTTATGAACTGTTATCTTCTGTTTTGTCATGTTTAATCTTACACTCTTTAAGAAAAATACAAGTCTGTAGGACAGATAAGCATATTAATAAGTTTTTGTTGGATTATAGAAGTTAACTGTTCGCAGTGTCATTATTGGAATATCACTTTGTGTGCTTTAATTTTATAACTTGAACAACTACTTCTAAGATGACAATATGTAACAAATCAACTAGTGATATCTTATTATTTTTCTGAAATTCTGTATTATTTCTACACTTTTTTTCTGTTTTTTTCTCTTTAAATAAACAACATTAAAATTCACAAAAATATAAAATATTTAAAGACAAAATATTAAGGACATAGACACTATCCATACTTGAAATTGAAAAGCCCACTTCCGTTTACCATGTTTAATTACAAGATGCCGTGTTGAAGCACAAAGACACTTTAAAAAATCTAAAGAGGTACAAGTCATTAACTGAAAACCATACAACATGTGCACTTGAGTAGAGATTCTCCTCAGATTTGGCATTTCTGTAAAATTTGTGAAGAAATATTGACATCAAAATTCTGTATTGATTATTTCTTCAGCTCTCCTAGGAATTTTTAAAGTAAACTTAGATCTACACTGTCTCAAGAGTGATGTTTTTTCTATGTATTTAACAACAAACATGAATTGCCATATTTCTCACATTGTTAATCCACATAGGATCCAGTGAGCTCTTTCAGATATGTAACAATGATCATGTGTGCTTAGGGTTCCCATAACACATAGAATTTATCACTTGTGTGAGTTTTTTCACATATTTCACTTACAATATGGCTGCTGAAAGTGTCTCCACTTGCTTACATAGCCAGTGGTTCTTCCCAGTGTGAATTCTTTCATGTGTTTTGCAATGACTCTATGCAGTAAAAGCTTTGCCACATTGTTCTATACATAGGGTTTCTTATCAGTATAAAGTCATTGATGTATTTTACAATATCCACATGTGGTGAAAGCTTTCCCACATTCTTCACATACACAGGGTTCCTCAACAGTGTAATTTTTTTCATGTATTGGACAATGAGCGTTTCTGCTGAAACCTTTCCCACATTCCTTACATATATAAGTTTTCTGCCCAGTGTGAAGATTTCATGCATCATGCAATATGTATGTGTGCTCAAAAATTCTCATGATACTTATATACACTGGTTTTATCTGGAGTGTGAACTTTCATGTTGCTTACAATGTCCATGTTGGGTAAAAGCTTTCCCACATTGCTTACATACATAGGGTTTCTCTCCAGTGTGAATTCTTTCATGTTGCTTACAATGTCCAAGTTGGGTAAAAGCTTTCCCACACTGCTTACATACATAGGGTTTCTCTCCAGTGTGAATTCTTTCATGTTGCTTATAATGTCCAGAGATGGTAAAACCTTTTCCACATTGCTTACATACATAAGGTTTCTCTCCAGTGTGAATTCTTTCATGTTTCTTACAATATCCCCGTGTGTTAAAAGCTTTCCCACATTGCTTACATACATAGGGTTTCTCTCCAGTGTGAATCCTTTCATGTTTCTTACAATCTGCCCGTGTGTTAAAAGCTTTCCCACATTGGTTACATACATATGGTTTCGCTCCAGTGTGAATTCTTTCATGTGCCTTACACTGTCCATGTGTGGTAAAAGCTTTCCCACATTGCTTACATATATAGGGTTTCTCTCCAATGTGAATTCTTTCATGTTGCTTACAATGACCAGAGATGAAGAAACCTTTTCCACATTGCTTACATATATAGGGTTTCTCTCCAGTGTGAATTCTTTCATGTTTCTTACAATATCCCTGTGTGTTAAAAGCTTTCCCACATTGCTTACATACATAGGGTTTCTCTCCAGTGTGAACCCTTTCATGTTTCTTACAATCTGCCCGTGTGTTAAAAGCTTTCCCACATTGGTTACATGCATACGGTTTCACTCCAGTGTGAATTCTTTCATGTGCCTTACACTGTCCATGTGTGGTAAAAGCTTTCCCACATTGCTTACATACATAAGGTTTCTCTCCAGTGTGAAATCTTACATGAACCTTACAATACGCACGTGTTTTAAAAACTTTCCCACACTGCTTACATACATAGGGTTTCTCTCCAGTGTGATTTCTTTCATGTTTGTTACAATCTCCCCATGTGTTAAAAGCTTTCCCACATTGCTTACATACATAGTGTTTCTCTACGGTATGAATTCTTTCATGAACCTTACAATATGCACTTCTGTTAAAAGCTTGGCCACATTGCTTACATACATAGGGTTTCTCTCCAGTGTGAATTCTTTCATGTTGCTTATAATGTCCAGATTTGATGAAACCTTTTCCACATTGCTGACATACATAGGGTTTCCCTCCACTGCAATATTTTTTGTGGATCTTAACATTGTGGTGTGCTTCTGTTTCTTTCACATTCACATTACCTTCTGCAGTACAAAGGAATACTTCTTTACACTGATTCCAAGATGTATGTCCATAGGACTTTCCTAGCTTGTCATTTCTGTAAAGAAAAACATCACATATAGGATTGATAACCATATTACTAAGCTTTTTTTGGAGAGTTGAACAAAACTATTTGCAGTCTTGCTGTTTGAATCCCCACTTCATGTTTCACTTTTGTATTTGATTAACTATTTTTATGAACACCATATGTAATCATCGTCTTGCGATTTCTTACTGTTTATTTTCACTTTAAAAGTAGTATTATTTCTACTTATTGTGTTTTGTTTAGTCTTTCCTTACATTAAATTAAAAAAAAAGAAAAATTGACAGTGAAATGGGTCTCAGTTTAATGACTGCATTAATGTCACGTTCTGTTTTTAATGGCTGCTAAGAAATTCTGACCATGAAGCAACAGAATGGCCTTGTAAGATATGTTGAAAACAACCATTCCCAAAATACTGGTACACGTTTAGAAATCTTAAAATTTGGTACCTTTTGAAATGCAGAATCTTTAGCTTCACTTTGGGCATGGGTACATATGTGTATCACATACAGATCATTCTGATATGTTTCCCCATCACAATCTCGCTTCTGTCCTTAACCTGTAATTCCCTTTTCCATATGGTCAGTCTTACTTTTCTCTATCGACTCTCTTTCATTTCATTCCACAATTTATACTTTGCTTTCTCATCTAAAAGAAATGCTGTGACCTTTTAGGTTTTATAGCTCAGCTATTTCACTGAATTGCTAGGAGAAAGATCCATCTATTTCTTATGGCAAATGACATTATACTGTTTATTTTTTGAGATTATATAACACACTTTTTTTCTTTTCCATGCTGGGAATGAGCAACACGTATTAGCATAACATCTATAGCTTTTTTTAAAATCTGTTTTTAGAGATTTTCACTGATCATTAAGCTGTGAAGTTTGAACTTGAATTTGCCATTCTGCAAAATCTGATTCCTAGTTTGCTGGGTTTACAAGAATGCACAATCACAGAGTCTATTAATATTTTCCTTCTCCACAAGTCCAGTGATAGATAGCTAAGCTTCTTCAAGCCCTGATCTGTTATAACTTGATTTGCATTGTATATGAGTAAGCATGTATCTAAATTTTATGCAGATTTTGAGTTTTTAAAAATATATCCAGGACAAGTATGAGGGGATCAATTTCTAGAGAAAATTGCATACTGATATTCAGAATGAGTGCACTAACATTCCAACAGATTACTCAGAATTTTAATTAGAATGGCTGATTCTCTAGGGCATGGCTTGGAAACATGAGCACTCCATTTTATTTCAAATTCTATTGCAATCTTAGTAATTTTTAGATAATGAATGTGTTGTATTCACATGTATACATGGGTAGAAAAACTGAAGGCAGAATATCATAACTCAAAGTGTATGCCTTTCATACATGTCTATATGCAATGTCATATGTTTTCATGATTTAATTCCCTCATTACACATACCCTAGCTTATACATCTTCAGAGAATATTGCTGACATTAAATTGAATGGTGCCTCATTTCTTTGGCTGCCATTCTTCTGCTTACTAATTACTCAGGAACATTCCTTCTCCTTGTGAGTGTGAATTACCTTAAGTATCTCCAGTAAATCTTGCATTCTTTTTTAGCTTCCTGGATATCCCCAAGTCCTCCTGAATTTTAGACATAGAAATACCAGTGCTCATTAGTATATTACATACAAATTAATAGATTTTGTTTAGATTTATGATATAATGGGTCCAGATCTGAGCTATTTTTAAAAATATTTTCACATTCTTTTAATGAAACAGCAATAATGAGCAATAAACAATATTCTGACAGCATGAGTGACAAAAGTATTTCATCCTTACCTATTGCAGCCAAGTTCCTAAAGGTTTCACCCATCACATTTCTGTAGAGGTTCTTTTGGGATGGAATCAACAAAGCCCACTCCTCATTGCTGAAGTTCATGACCACATCCTCAAAGGTCACTGGCTCCTAAAGGATCATACATGTATTTCTCAAAGGAAGGTTGAGATTCCAGGTTTGAGATATCTTAAATTCTTCCCTACAAATCTGAATCTCAAAAGGCTGAGACAGGATGGCTTTGGTGAGTTCAGGGCAATTCTAGGCTCCACAGGGTGTTCAAATACAGCTGATATACATACAGAAAGCTTGTCTCAATAAAACAAAACTAAACTTACATAAAACCAAACAAAAAGGCTGAATGAAGACTGATTTCTTCAAATTTAAATCCATGTCTTGGTCATTAATTTTGTATATATACACATTTTTGAATACAGCAAATTTGATGCTAGATTGCAACTCACTGCTAATGTAACAGTGAAATAGGAGCACTGATTCTTGTGCTGACTCACTCCAATATTCTCTGTGTACTGTCTCTAAAGCAGAGCTCACAGTGAGAAGCCTGCAGGACCAGCATCCACAAAGCACAGAGGCAGATAAATATCCCATCAATCAACTGGGAAGCCAAGCAAGCACCTGCCTTCCCTGGTAAGTCGTGGCAGTGTGGCAGACTGCAGCCCATCCAGGGTGTGAACCAGCAACAGCTCCTGAGATCTGTGCCATGTTGGAACTTCGGACGCTGTGAAACCAAACAACCAGCCAGTCTCCCTACTAAGCAATAGTGAACCTACTGATGCATGGCCTAGAATCAAACATCCCACTTCCCATACCCCTCTTCTCCTGTCACCCCCACCCCCGTTAGCAAATGGCAATCACAAATCTGGCGTCTTCTGGGAAGTTGAAAATAACAAATAAGGGGGACTTTCTTCTACTATCTCTTTGAAGGCAAATATTTTTAATACTGTTTTGCTCTATTCTGAATCATGGTATTGCTCTATTCAATGTTCTGTTTTGATAAGTTCTATAATGTTCTGTATTTCATCTCATTTTGATATATGTGATTGAAGAACAATTATTATAAAGATAATGAAATATACTGTGATACCTATTACTGTTATCCCAGTAACCTGTTGTGAAGTTGTGTACCAATTTCACAGTATGATCTGAGTTTGCCTTATTGTGCCTTGTTCTGTTTTATTTTACCAGTTTCAAAATTTAAAAAAAAGAAAAAAAAATCTCATCAATCACTTTGATAGACTATAGATGATGTCCCCTCAAATGTCATTTAGGCCAGTGAATACTTTGTTCTTAATATACTTCAGCAGCATTTTGAAACATGAATTTGGTTTCATAGAACAAAACATAAATAACATCCAATATGGTACATAACTAATAACACAAATGTTAGTGGAAACAGCTGTATTTTAAAAATATGTATAAACAATGAAACCAGGCCCAAGCTGTAAATTATAGCTCACTGTCACCCAGTGATCACTGTCCATTGAGATATAAGAAGTATATCTTGGGAGGCTGGTGAAGGAGTTCTTCCTTGAATTTGGGGCTATCCTAAGTTTCAGAGCTGTCTAAAATAGAGAAACCCTGACTGAGACACTCCACAGACAAAGTGAAACTTGAAAAGAGACTGCATAAGACAACTTTGGTTTGTTTTTAAAAACTATAGCCATATAATACAGAAAAATTCCAACAATATTCAACACTTTCTGAGAAACAATGTGGTTGTCTTCCGTACTACAAAGAAAATACTTTCATAGTTGGGTATTTAGTTCAGTGGCATCACCGCCCACCTGGAAAGCATAGGTCATGAGTTCACTCCTTGGAACAAAAAAAAAAAATACAAATTTTACCTTCATGACACTGGGGCATAATTATGATAATGCAAATTAGATCTCAAGCATGGAACACAAAATTCATGGGTTGACAGGGATGTGAAATGCTGATTGTTGCCAAAGCTGGTGTGGATCACCTCAAGTAAGCAATCAGAACCCAACTTTACTTCATACTTACTCTAAGAACTACCGGACTTTCAGTGAAGACCCTCTCTGTTGTATGTCCTGCTATTGGCTTCCTGCATCCTGTCAATCACTTCCACATTCTTTCCACACTCTTCTGATCCATTCTCAGCAGAAAACTCTTTATGCCTAACTATTGATATCACTGCAAAATTTCTATTTAAAACTTCCCCTTTACACCACTTAATAAAATCCATTGAAGAGAATTTCCATATTTAAACTGTCTATGAACAACCAAGCTACTAAATCAGCTCTTAATTCAGAGATGACACCCCTATTCCTTTCCATTAGTAGGATATCATGTATAAATGTCCATGCAAATGCCTAAATTTCAGCATTTTCAATGAAAATTTAACAGGTAGGCCTTTCTGGAATTTCTCCTATACAAATTTTTACCCTGGCCTTGATAGCACTTTCATATTTGCATCATTTTTCTCAGACTTCAAAACTCTATGGCTGTTCTCACAAACCTAGTCTGTGAGCAGGGGTGCCACATAAATAATTAAGTATGTTCAGAAATTATTTGCACTGTTCTGTATAATACACAGAAGTTCACCAGCTGTTTGGGAAGCCTTCCTCTACTGAGGCACATTACTACACATCTCTGAATTCTCAGGACATTTGCCACCACCTGTCCTGAGGATGGAAATATGAGAACATCGTATAAATTTAGCAGATCACTATAAATACAAAAAAGCCAAAGTTTAAGTTGAGCCATTGTGACTATGAGGCCCTGCATTACAGGCATTAATGAACTTTGGACATTCCAGATCTGCTACTCTGAGGAAAGAGAGCCGAGACCTAGCTCATTACTGCTCTACAAGCTACAGAAAGCATCATAGTTAGGGTCTTCCCAAGGTCCTTTCAATGCCTAAGATTGTGGAGTTACCAGGCCAGCAGTGATTTTCAAAGATGATACTTCAGTCAGCTGCTGTCATAGTGGGGCCACGGTTCTTGGGACCCCCAATCACCCTTGCCAACAGCAAGAGGCAAAAGGGACAGTGAATGACCCATGGCCAATGCTGGAGAACCTCAGGAGCTAACGCTAACTAAATACCTGAGGCTCCAGACACCAGAACTACTCCTAAACACTTGTAACTGGTTTTACCTAGTCCACCTTATTTCTGGGTTCTCATCCACAGCCTCACCATTCCATGGCTCCAGGATCTCTCCTGGGTTCTTTGCTAATCAGGCCACAGGACATTGAATGTACTAAATGAGATCCAGCAAGCGTTTTGCTACCAGTATTGTACTCAGAACAGGTAAATCATGATGAGACATCCAAAGAGACAGAAGTCACAGCCAGCAATGGCCCACCTGATTGGACAGTTCATATAGCCTGCACCTTCATCACTGATTGACTCCTGCTGTACTGCCCTCCTTCTGAGATAAGAATAAACAGGGAAAGGAACCCCTCCCAGCAAGAGAGGATCCAAAATGATAGACTGTAGTGCAGAGACTTCTGGAGCTGCCATTCTTCTACAGTGGTGAACTCAGCTCGACAGAGGAGTGTTTGTACTGAAGAGCTTTACCTCAGGCTTTTAATTTTCAAATCCATTTTATTGCAAGGAAAAAAGAACACATCAACTAAAATTAAATTTCAAAACATGTCAATCAGGAGGCAACACTGGTATATACATTGCACATTGACATCCCCAGATCATTCACCCAGAGCCCAAGACAGCTGTAATCAATTTTCCAAACAGTACTGTTACAGGGACCTGAGTTATTTAAATAATATTGGCATGAGACATGGCTAGGTCCTCCAAGGAGCCCATGCAGGAGTCCAGATACCTTGCCACTATGGGGAAGACTGACACCTCATGCTATGGGCCAAGTCTGAAGACAAATGATAAGCAAATTCATCCATATCCTAAGGATTGATAATCTAAACAGTTCCCTAGCACTCTGAGGAAGTCAGAAGTCACCATTCAAAGAAATGTATCCTTATCCTAAGGACTGACATTCTAAATAGTTCCTGTCATCCTGATGACTTCAGTAGTCACCCTCCCAAACCCCTAAGGGAAGATTCACTTTCCCCTAAGAATGCCTGCTTTCTATGTGACTCCCTTCTCTCTTTGTTTCCAATTTAATCAACTTTACCTGAACTTATAATCTTATTGGCTACCATAGCTCTGTCTCATTTATGCCCATCTGCATTGTGAGTTCCTAGGTTTCTCCACCTTAAACTCATTTCATCCCATGATTTTACTCTATAAAGGTCCCTAGAAAGGACAGTGTTTGACAACCTGCTCAGGACACCTTCTCTCTCTCAGGCAGCTTTTTTTCTCTCAATAAGTTTATTCTTCTCTTAATCTCTGTTGTTCCTAAAGTTCATTCTTTGACTTTACATGACAGAAACCTCATATCAGACATAGTAGACCAGGACATTCATTCCATTATAGCAATATCAGTATAAACTTTTCTCTTTCTTGAAGTCAGAAAAATCAGTAGTAGTTTGTATCACACAATGTTGATCTTACCTTGCCAGGGATACTAGCATTGAAGGCCTTTATCCCTGCATTTAAGGCTACTTCTTTTTCTGAAAATGAACTGATCTGTAATTTTGGTTATGGTATTGACAATGCATTAAGGAACTGACTCAAAATATTTCTTATGAATGGGTTGGCACCAGCCATGGAGGAAGACAGATAGAAAAAATTATTTGTTTTGATTTCTTCCTTCAAACCTAAGGATGTACTTGAAAGAGTTTTGCCCTGGAAACAATTACAAAACCTCATGGTGGTAGTTCAAGGTGGAAGAAGGTGAAATCAGGGATGCTTACCATTATGGCCATGTCCTGGTTTTTCCTTGATTACAACTTCCTCTTTCTTTCCCAGGGGCCTAAATAAAATTCCCATCAGCTCCTGGCATGACATCAATGTCCCCTCCAAGCATACAGTCAAAAGTCACATATACCCCATAACCCTATAGTCAGAAAAAACAAAGCCAAACCCTTTGTGGTTGTGGGCTCCTCTCCACATTCTTTAAATAAAAGGCCAGTTTTACATTTCTAATATTCTGTTTCTCTACTGTGCTAATTTATCTCCTTAGTAATCTCAGTAATCTAACCCACTTTAAAACTATCTCACCACATGATTTTGAACCCAATTGAGAAATGTGGAATTTCATAAGCTGATCTAAGGACCACTTGTATGCAGAACTCCCACCCGCATTTCAAGATCTAAACAAGAGGCTTTGAACTGGAAAGTTAGAGATGTTTTAAAACATAGAATCACAAAAAGATCCTGTTGGAAATCATTTAGCTAGAATCTTATAAAAATTTTTGGATGACAAATGTATTCTGCTTCTTTTGTTGAGCAGGTTAATTTTTTTCTTTGTGTACAGCTCATTTTGCTTTTCTCCTGGGACTTCTACCCTGAGTGACTTTCCACTTTTCTGGGTGAAATACAGGGCACTAGTTAAATGCAAAGCTCCAGATGGCATCCATTATGCCAAGCTACAACACAGCTAAGTTACAAGCCTTAATATATTCTAGGGTAAAAAGACACATATCTAAAATCCTAGCACTCAAGAGGCTGAGAGAGGAGTGATGCTTTGAGGTTAGGGCTATTCTGCACTGCAAAAGGGGTTCAAATCTAGCTGATATACATAGGGAAAACCTGTCTCAACAAACAAAACTAAAGTAAACAAATAAAACCAAACAAAACAGCTGAATGGAGACTGATTACTTCAAAACTTAATTCCATATAGTGGGGATTAATTTCTTGTATATACACAAATTTTTTGAGACAGCAAATTTGATGCTATATTGCAACTCAAAGCTAATGTAACAGCCAAATAGGAGCACTGATAATTATGCTGAGTCACTGCAAGAGTCGCTGTGCACTGTCTCTAATACAGAGCTCATAGTGAGAGTCTGCAAGACCAGCATCCATAAAGCACAGAGGCAGACAAATATCTCACCAATCACTTTGATGTACCACAAATGATATTTTTTCAAATTTCAATTAGGCCAGTGAGTCCTTTGTTCTTAATACACTTAAGCAGCATTTTGATATTTGAATTTGGTTTCACAGAACAAAACATAAATAACATCAAATAGGGTACAAAAATAATAACTCAAATGTTCATCAAAAACTTCTGTATATAAAAAACTTATAAACAATGAAACCAGGTGCAAGCTTCAAATTATAGTTCAGTGTCACCAAGTGATCACTTTCCATTCAGATATAAGAAATATATCTTGCGAGGCTGATGCAGGAGAACTTCCTTGAGTGTGGGGATAACCTAAGTTACAGAGTTGTCTGAAATAGAGAAATCCTGACTAGGAAATGCCACAACGTGAAACTTGAAAAGTGACTGCATAAGACAGCTTTGGTTTGCTTTAAAAATTATAGCCATACAATATAGAAAAATTCCACAATATTCAACATTTTCTGAGGAACAAGGTTGATATCATCCATAATATACAGAAAACACTTTCAGAGCTGGGTATTTAGCTAGCAGCATGAAAACATATCTTGCAAGCCTGAGGTCATGAGTTCGATCCTTGGTACAAAAAAAAATTCAAATTTCACCTTCATGATTCTGGGTCATAATTTGAGATAATCAAAACTAGATCTCAAGTGAAGAACACAGCATTCATGGGTTGACAGGACAGTGGAATACTGATTGTTAGCAGAGCTGGTGTTATTCACCTCAAGAAAGATATCATAATTCAACTTTAACTGCATGCTTACCCTAAGAACTACCTGACGTTCAGTGAAGACCTCTTTGTTGTATGTCCTGCTATTTGCACACTGTGTCCTCCTGGTCACTTCCACACCCTTTCCATGCTCGTCTGATCCACCCTAAGCAGAAAACCCTTCATGCCTAAACTATTGATATCCCTGCACAATTTCAATTTAGGGCATCTCCTTTACACAAATTAGTAAAGTCCATTGCAGAGCATTTTCATATTTAAACAATGTATATGATCAACCAAGCTATTAAATTAGCTCTTAATTAAGAGATAACACCCATATTCTTTTCCATTCAGAATTATATCACATATTTATATGTTCATGCAAATGAATACATTTAGGCATTTTTCAGTGAGAATTTAACAGGCACACCTTTCTGAAATTTGTCCTTAGCAAGCACACTTTACCCTGCTCTTGATGACACTTTTATATCTGCTTTTTTCTCAAAATTCAGACCTCTATGTCTGTTCTCACATAGTCTATGAACACATGTGTCACAAAAAAATTCTTTGCACTGTTATTTATAATACACTGTTATAATTATAATATACAGTTACTATAATACATTATAATAAACAGTTATTTATAATGCACTGTCACAAAAAAATTCTTTGCACTGTTATTTATAATACACAGGAGTTCACCAGGTATTTGGAAAGCCTTCCTTCACTGAGGCACATCACTACACATCTCTGAATTCTCATGATTTTGCCAACACCTCTCATGAGGTTGGAAACGTGAGAACATACCATAAATTTAGGCAATCCCTATAAATACAAAAATGTACAGGTTTAGGAGTTCCGTTGTGGATATGAGGCCCCGCATTACATTACATACATTTATAAACTTTAGAACATCAAGATTGCTGATTCCTGGAATGAGAGCAGAGACCAAGCTCAGTACTGCTGCTCCAGCTACAAAATGCATCAGAGTCAGGGGCTTCCCAAGCTCCTTCCTCTACTCCCTATGGTGGAGGTGCCAGGGCAGTAGAGAATTTCAAAGATGATGATCCAGTCTGGTGCTATCATAGTTAATTCAGGGTTCTGGGGACACAGAATCATCCTTGTTCCCAGCAGGAGGAAAAAGGGAAAGTGGACGACCCAAGGCCAATGCTAGAAGACCTCAGGAGCTGAAGCTAACTAAATACCTGTGTCGATAGACACCAGAACTGCTTCTAAGCACTTGTAACTGGTTTCTCCCAATTCCACCCTATTTCTGGGCTCCCATCAAAGCCTCACCATTCCTTGGCTAGAGGGTCTCCCAGATTCTTTGCTAATCAGGCCACAGGACTTTGAAACCAGTAAATGAGATCCAGCAAGCATTCTGCTCCAAGTTTTGTGTTCCAAACATGTAAACAATGTCTACACACAGGAAGAGACCTCCTTCAACGGCTCACCTGATTGGACATTTCATATAGCCCGCCTCTTCATCACTGATTGACTGCTGCTGTACTGTATTCTATCTGAGTCAAAAATAAACAGGGAAAGGAACTCCTTCCTGCAAGAGAGAATCCCAAATGATAGACAGTAGTCAGAGACTTCTGAAGCTGGTTGACTTCAACAGTGTTGATCTCAGCTACACAGAGGAATATGTATACAAAAGTGCCTTACCTCAGGCTTTTCATTTCCAAATCCATTTCATTTCAAGGATAAAAAGAAAAAATTAACTAAAACTAAATTTCAAAACATGTGAATCAGGGGGCAACACTGGTATATATGTTGCACACTGTCATCCCGGATCATTCACCCAGAGCACAAGACATCTGTATTCAATTTTCCTAAAAGTACTGTTATGTGCACCTGAGTTAGTTAATTATGATTAGCAATGAGACAGGGCTAGGTCCTCTGAGGAGCCCATCCAGAAACCCAGATACCTTGCAACTATGGAGAAGATGGTAAACTCCTGCTATGGGCTAAGCCTCAAGACAGAAGATCAACAAATTCATCCATATCCTACAGACTGATATTCTAAATAGTTTCCTAGCAGTCTGAGGAAGTCAGGAGTCACCATTCAAAGAAATTTATCTTTATAAAGACTGACATTCTAAATAGTTCCTATCATCCTGATGACCTCAGTAGTCACCCTCCCAAAGCCCTAAGGCAAGATTCACTGCTGCCTAACAATGCCTGCTTTCTATGTGACTCCCTTCCCCCTTTTGTTCTCAATTTAATCAACTTTACCTGCACTATTAATCTTATTGGCTACCATAGCTCTGTCCCATCTTATGCCCATCTGCATTGTGATTTCCCAGTTTTCCCACCCTTCAAACCATCTAACCACATGATTATACTCTATAAAAACAGGGTAAATTTTTCTCTTTTTGAAGTCAGAGAAATCAGTAGATGATTGTATTATTAAATGTTGATCTCACCTCTTAAGGGACATTTGCATTGAAGGGCTTTATCCCTGCGTTTTAGTGCTGCTTCTGTTTTCTGAAAGTGAAAGGATCTGTAGTTTTGTTTATGCTATCTATAGTACCTTAAGGAAATGACTGGAAATTTTCCTTATGAATTGTTTACCACTAACAATGGGAGAAGATAAATAGCAAAAATTCTTTATTTTCATTTCTTAATTTAAACTTAAGGATGTACTTTAAAGAGTTTTGCCCTAGAATAAATTACAAGACATCATGGTGGTAGTTCACCAGGGTGAAAGGTCAAATCAGGGATGCTTACCCATATGGCTACTTCCTCTTTTTTCCCTGAATACAACTTCCTCATTCCTTTCCCAGGGGCCAAAAAAAATTCCAATCAGCTCCTTTCATGATATCAATGTCAGTGCCAGCACCACCAAATTTCTTATATACACTATAATCACATGATCTCTCAGGAAAAAAGGCAAACACTTGGTGGCTTTAGGCTCCTCTCCACATTCTTTAAATAGAAAGGACACTGCTACTTTTTCTTACATTCTGTGAAAGGGTTTTGGCCCAGACAGGACTCTGTAGCCAGGAAAGCCTCAACCAGAAGCAGGAAGACCCTATCTCCCCCACTCCTAGGAATTTACCTGTGACACCATCTTCCCACCCCTGGGAATTTACCTATGGCACCAAACCTAAGACCAGTGGTCTACCTGTGCATCCCTAATTCCCTCTTTTGGTTCCATCCCAAACCAAGGCTACTTACACACCCTCATCCCATGTATCTGCCAGAGAGATCACTGGACTCCAGCAGTGGGGGGGTGCCAGTCATCTCTCTCCATGTTCTCAGAATAAAGGCCTGTTTTTGTTTTATACTTCTCATCTTTTGGAAATATTTTTCATCTTTTGGAAATAATCCTATCATTGGGCTTCTCTATTGGGCCACAAAATCCTAGCAGTACTGATTCTTGTCTATGTATGAAGCTAATCTACTTCCTCAATAATTCACATGCTCAATGCCATGAGTATCCAATGGAAATTAATGCAGTGGACATTAATTAATCCAGGATACACTGTGTAATAATACACTGTGCACTGTACCATTGCTATTTGCTAAGAGCTACTCTTATTTTTCCCCACATAGTTGAAAGATGAAAATGACTGGTGATGACAGAGAAACTGTGATAATATTTTTTTCAATTTTATCAGATATTTTACTACATCCATTAAGTACATTTTATTTGCTACAATATGGATATGGATGAATTTGCCTGGTATTTTCTCTTGGGGCCTGTCCCATAACAGGGGGTATCTGTCTCCCCATAGCTGCAAGGTATCTGGACTTCTTAGCTGGCCTTCTAGGACCTGAGACTGTCTCCCTGGCTATATATTTCTAATTAACTCAGCTGCCTGTAACAAGGCTTGCCCCTCAAAGGAGCCAGAAAATAAGTTCAGATTGCTTGCCTGATTGGAAGAGACAATCACCTCCTGCTGTGGGCCAAATCTCAAAACAAAAGGTAAATTAAATTCAACCAAGTGCTAAGGACCAACAGTCCAAATAGTTCTCTGATCACTCTAAGGAACACAAGAGTCACCATCCCAGCCTTCTACAAGAAGAATCTCTGCTCTTAAACCTGCCCACTTACTATGACTTGCTCTCCCATTTGCTCCCAATTTAATCAATTTTACCTGAGCAATTAACCTTATTGGTTGACCACATTTCTATCCTGCCTTATGCTTAACTTTCAGATTCTCATTTTTCCCTCCCCTGGACCCATCTAACACCATGATTTAACTCTATACAAGTTTCTCAAAAAGACAGACTATTTAGCAACCCACTCAGACCTTTCCTGTCTCTCAGACAAAAGCTTTCCTTCTCTGAATAAATATATTCCACTCTTAAACTCCATCATTCCTAAAATTCATTCTTCAATTTTAGAGAACAAAAACTCATACCGGATATATAGTAGGTAAGGAGTTTCATTCCCCTATACCATTAACATGAGCCAAATTAACATGACTATACTTTTATAATGTCTGAAAATTTTCCTTTTCCTGCAGTTTCAAGTGATTAATACAACTCGCAGTGATTATAGTCCTGGCAATCTAAAATTGTATACAACAGTCATTGTAAGTGTAAAATAATTGCGTTGATTGTATTATTTAGCAAGACATAGACTTTGCCATGGCACTAGGTTATATCTTACAAAAGAGAAGGTTCACCTATAATTGTTCAGAAAAAATTTCTACATTATTGGCTGCTTAAACAATTTTTAATTAGATAAACTGTTTTTTTTCAGTTTCTAGAAGGCTTCTATTATATTATGGAAAGCTGTCTGTAGGCCTCTAAGACCTTGGTTATATATATTTTGATGCGTAATTCTGTTTTGAAACTTGTATGAAGATTTATTATTATTTTAGGATTAAATTCACTGCATTGACACTGATAGAGTGAAGCAAATTGCCATTGACATATTTAATTAAAAATCTTGTTAATCTACATCTTCAATGAAATTATTTTCTTTCATTGCAGTTTAAAACTCTTTTTTTTTTTTTTTTTTAGGTACCAGGGATCAAACTCACAACCTAGCACTTCTCCGGGAAGTGCTTCTGCCTGCTGAGCTAAATCCCATGCCCCCATTAATTAATACTTTATTAAATGTATAAACATTACTTTATCCATTCAAGTAGTATTATTATTTTACTAGAGGAGGTCAAAATAGAGAGGAATTGATATACAGTCAGAGAGGAAATGGAAACTCAAAGGAGTCAGTGTAAAAACCTAAACACAACAATCCCTGCTAGAGACACAACTTAAGAAAGCCAGAAGGTGAAGATGCAGTGACCATGTCTACATGCCTCCTGGAGAGAAAAACAACAGCTTGAAATGTACTAAAGTTACCACCACCTCCTCCAGGAGGTCCACATAGGCATCAATTACCATACGCAATGACCAGAACAACTGGACTATTGTTCCCACAAAATGCCTTGGCCCTTTCAACATAGTCCTTCTGTGTGACTTCTTCCAAGGGTTGAGTATTTTTAAGCCACTACAAGTTTATAGGTTGATTGTAGTTTGAGACCCACACTGTACCTGCATTGTGAATTTCCTGTAAAAATGACCCCTGACAATAGGTCTGTGCCTTAAACACTGAAGAACATTCCTGAAAATCCAGGGCTATTCTTCTCTCTTTTTTCCCAGAAAACTTTCTGAACTTCTTTTGTTTTGTGACTTCATTCCTCAATGTTGTGAGTCAACCAACATGTTGCATTTGACATCAAACAAGGCAGGATTATATTTGTCCTATTTCAATTTGAATATGAAATATCTGCTAAAGGCCATGTTCCAAAGCCTTTGTGTGAAGTTACTTGCTTGCTCTGAGTTTAAGATTTCCATGAGTTTTGGACCTCTTCATTCTAGCAAATTGCAGATTTATTGGTGGAAGGAGGTCACTGTTGTGCTGTAGCACTATAGGCACCATTTCTAACTCTGTATTTGTCACTGCTGCCCAGATGCTACTACATGGCCAGCTTTCCTCTGCAACATCATTCCATAATTGCCAATTTAGGTCAGCTTTCATTCAGCTCTATTGTTTTTGTTTTCCTTTAATAGTCTTTCTCTCTCCCTTGTTTTTTTCATTTTTCATTTTTATTTTTGTTTTTAAAGACATAGTCTCACCTTGTAGTTCTGGCTGGCCTTTCATTCACCATGTAGGTTAGACTGTCTTGCATATGTGACCATTCTCCTGTTTCCGCCTCTTTAATGCTGTGGAAAAGAGGTGGGCATCGTAACACATGGTGTTTGTGATTTTTTCCCTCCTTTTCACTATTATTCTTTCATTTCAGGGGCACTGACATTTAATCCAGATGTTTGCTTGTGTCAGTAAATCTTTCTGCATCTTGAGGTGAGTTTGTGAACAACAGCATAGGAATTCAAGCATCCAAAGTATAAATTTGGAATTTAAATAGCTGAACCACTTGTATACAGACCCTTCCCCATTTCAGAATCAAAACAAGTGGCCCTGAACTGGAAAGTTAAGCATTTTTAAAAGAGAGTGTCACAAGAGACATCCTGGTTGGAAACAATTTAGCTCAAATCTTAAATGAATTTTTATTTGACACCTGTATCCTGCTTCTTTTTTTAGCAGGTTACTTTTTTTCTTTGGGTACAGCTCCTTTTACTTTTCTCATGGAACTTAAATCATGAGTGATTTTTAATTTTCCTGGGTCAAATACAGAGCACGAGATAGATGCAGGGCATGAGATGGCATCTTTTGTGCCAAGCTACAAAACAGCTGAGCTACAGTGCCAAGCCTGAATATTTTCAAGGGTAAAGAGCACACAATGTTTTAATACTTCAAAATTTGTGATATTCATTCTTATAATAAAGAATGATCTTTAGTCATGACAAGCTAAACCCACCAGGTCCTTCATTGCTTTCCACTAGTCTTTTCCTCATCATCCTTAAATACAAGACTTTCTGAGTTCTTAATGCTAATGCTCACATTTGATTCATATTCCTACCTGTGATATCTCCTGTTTCTGCTGGTAGTCTAGTCTGGCATCCCCGGCCCATAAGAGATAGAAACAAATCTCGTGATTCCCTACACTCCAATGATGTTATGTGTTAAATTAAACACTTTTCCTTAAAGGGAATAGCAGTTAATGAATACATGTGTATCTCATGACTGTTTCTTCAGGTTTCAAATAACACCAGTAATTCTTTCAAGTGTTAGGTGCACACCTGTAATCCCAGGACTTAAGAGGCTGAAGTAGGAAAATCAGTTTGAATTTACTGGACTAAGAGGTGAGTCCATAGTCAGCCTGAATTGCATAGGGAAATCCTGCCTCAAACAAACATAAAAAAATATCATATTATTGTAGATATCCTTGAGAAGAAGGACTCAACAGTTTGAAACTCTTAGGATCATACATATTAGGTTTCATCTGGTGAATATAAGAGACCAGTAAAACTACTTTCAAGGATATGGAGAAAACTCAAAAAATCTTGTTGCAAATTGTCATATAGATGTAATGCATTGCCCAACAAAATGACATTAGGATAGCTCACAAATGTAGAGAAAACATTTCTAAAATTCATTTGGAAACAGAAATGGTCTAGATCGCCAAAATAATTGCTGGGCAACAAAGGCAAGTCTGGAAGCATCACAATTCCTGACTTGCTATAATACTAGAAAGCTACTGTCAGAAAATCAGCATAGTTCTGGCAGAGAAACAGACCTGAGAATCATCCAAAAAGACTAGAAAATGCAAATAGAACTACAAACACATTCTGCTACTTGTCTTTGACAAAAGAGCCAAATAGGTTCAGTGGAAGAGAGATAGCCTTTTCAATAAACTGTGCTGAAGAAAATGACATTCCTCATACCAAAGACTTAAACTGGATACATCTATCACAATGAAACAAATATAAGTCAAAGTAGATGAAAGATCTAAATATTAAAACAGAAACACTAACGAGACTTCATGACCAAAATACACATTTTAAAGAATCAACCACCAGGACCCCATCTTATTGAAAATATTTGTACATCAAAAGAAATCACTAACAGAGTGAAAACACAATGCACAGAATGGGAAAGGGATATTTTTCTATTTTCTGATAATCTCTTCAATATCCTTTTCCAATGCACTATAAATTTCCATATGTAAGTCCTTTACTTTCTTTGTTAGGTTCTTTCCAAGTATTTCATTTTCTTGGAGGCTATTGCAAAGGGTCCGGTTTGTGTAACTTCTCTCTTGGTGAGTTTGTTGATTGTATACAGAAATGTTATTGATTTTTGATTGTCAACTTTGTCTGCAGCTACATTATTGAATTTGGTTATTAATTCTAGGACTGCTTTGGTAGAGTTTTTGGCATCTTCTATTTAGAATATCATATCGTCTGTAAATAATGATAATTTAACTAATTTCTATTATATACTTATTCTTATTTCTCTCTTTTGTCTAATTGTTCTGCCTAATGTTTCCAGAGCTATATTAAATAGGAGTGGTCATAGTAGTCATCCACGTCCTTTTCATAACTGTGGAATGAAAGTTTTCAGTTATTCTCCATTTAGTATGATGCTGGATTTTCGTTGTCACTGTCTGATTTTTTTTTTTGTTTTGTTTTTTTCTTTTTTGTCGGTACTGGTGATCCTAATCATGACCACACAATTGCAAGGCAGGTGCTTATTCCACTGAGCTAAATAGCCAACCCCATCATTTTTTGATTTTATCAGCTTGAGATAAAGGTCATCTGTTGTTATTTAGTATAGGGTTTTTTATCACGAATCAGTGCTTGACTTTATCAAAAGCTTATTGTGCATTTATTGAGATGATCACCATGTGACTTTTATTTTTGCCTGTGTTGGTATGACATTTAAATTTGTTGATTTGCATGTACTGAAACATCCCTGCCTTCCTGGGATGAATCCAAGTTGTTCAGGTTTTAAAATCTTCTTGATGATTTGTGACATTCACTTTGCTAGTATCTTGTTAAGGATTTATGCATCTATGTTCATTAGGAAAACTGTCTTATAGTTTTCTTTTTCTGGTTGGGTCTTTCCTCTGGTGTTAGTATCAGGGTAATACTTGCCTCCAGGAATGTGTTAAGGAGAATAGCTTCTCTTGCAAAATTATTAAACAGCAGTGGTCTTAAATTTTTTTCTACATTTATTGCAGAATACATCAGTAAATTCATCAGGAACTAGACTTTTTTATGTTGGTCATTTGCTTTTCTGTTGACATTGTTTTTCTTTTTATTTTAATGTGCTCATGAGACAGGCTCTCACTATTCAAGTCAGGCTGGCCTTGAGCTCACTTTGTAGCCTTGTTTAGTGTCAAACTCACAACAGTCCTTTACCTCAGCCTCCCAAGTTCTGGGATTACAGCAATGCACCACCATGCCCAGCAGCTGATGCATTTTTAATGAGATCTTCATTCTCATTAACTGATACTGTGTTTTCTAGAATTTTTATAATTCTTGAATCAGATTTGGCATTTCATATGTATCTAGGAATCAGTGCATTTCTATATTTTCTAACCTATGAAAGCATAAGCTTTACAAGTAGATATTGATGCTCTTCGGAATTTTCACAGGATCTATAGTTATTTTATTCTTCTGAATCATCAATGCATGGTTTTCAGTCTTTATTTTTTTCTTTTATGACATGGTTGTCCAAGGGTTTATGAATTTTGTTTATTCTTTCAGTGAACCACCTCTTTGATTCATTAATTCTTTGAAGTGTTTTCTTTGCATGAATTTCTTGCCTGGTCTTATAATTTCCTCCTTTGTATGGGATTTGTGTTTGTCTTGCCATTCTTCTTCTGGAAGATTGAGATGCAACATTTCATTATTTGTTTGTGTTCTTTCTATTTCCTGATGTGAGATTTGACTACTATAAATTTCCCTATTCGGACTGCTTCCATTGAATCCCATAAGGTACAGGATTTTGCGTCTATTTTCTTGTTAGGTTGTAGGTATTTTTAAGTTTCTTCCTTTATTTCACCTGTCACCCATTGGTTGTTTTGGAGAGTTTTATTTAATTTCCATATACTTATGAAGTTTTTGCAACTTCTTTTACCATTATTTCCCAATTTAAATACATGCTTAAGAATACTAGCCTTAGGCTGCAAAGTCAAGCAAGTAATACAAGGATTAAGTTGTTTTTATACCTCCATTGCTATCAACTCAGCATGTCCTCTAAACCAGTCATACGGTTGGTGGTGGGATGAGGTGATTGTGGTGCTCCTCTCCCAGCCAATGCAGTGGTTAGGTCACAGGAAGTGTAAGTTATTTTCTTGCTTTTATTCTGAGAACCAGAATAGCTTCCACAGAATCACAACATGAACACATTGGCTAGTTTCCCCTACTATTCCCCACCTGACTTCCACCAGCTCACAGGAAGGGTAGATTAGCTTTCTATTTCTCCTCTCAGGCCTGGAATGGCTCAGAATTGTTAATTTTGTCATCAGCATGACTTAGTGGAGGCATATCATAAAACCTGCATATTTATGTGTGTGTCCTACAGGAAATAATTCATATGTAGGTCATTGATTGAAGTGGAAATGTCTTGAGGAAAGTTGTGTCATGTAAGAGGATTTGGCATTGGTGAACCAAAAAAATACAGTGGAATAGAACAGCATCTGTATACATAAATTGCCTTAAACAGATTTGATAGTTGGTCTTGTCATCATCCAACAATACCGTATTTCAGTGCTGAGTCTTTAAAATAGATACATTTTATGTTTCATGTTGGGTTTTTTTCCTAGAAACCAAGACACCAAAATGGTGTACCAAAAAGGCTCTAAGAAATGAGAAACACAGCATGGTCTTCAGGGTTGCAGGAGGAGAGAGATCCTTGGCAGAGCTCATCACTCTTCTAGTGATGAGCTGGCCAACTCATGCTGGCAGGAGTTGAGTGGAAGAATCCTGAACAGGATCTTGGGAGAGGTTCAAGACCCCCTCAGAGCAACAGAGGATCCCAACTGCAGAGAACTATCCCACACAAAGTGTCTAGGTGGCCTCAGCTGTGGCCTATCTTGCCCCCTGAGGCATCTCTTCATTCTCAGTTCAATCATGCGTGTGCCACATCACAGCCCTGCATGAGTATTCAGCTTCAATGGCTCCAACATAACCCTCCTTTTTGTTGGGTTGATACACAGATGGGTGACCTGCAGAAGATGGAGAGGCTGTGTTAGAGCTCCCACCACTGCACAGTCCATAGGTTCATAATGGTAGTCAGTTACCAGCATAGCCAGCAATTGTCAGAGGATGTGGGTGATCTGAGATTCACCCACAGACAATGTTTTACATTGCACTGTACCTCCAGAGGCCAGACTTTTCTGCAGAAGGTTCAAGAACAAGGTAACATAAGGACTGCACTAAGGACAATTGGTTCATTACTTCCTATCAAGGCCAGTTAGGTCTACTCAAGAACAATCTTATAACCATGCATAGCTCCTCATATGTCTTCTGTCAGTGTCAGCCACCTGGAAGAGTTAGGGCCACTGCTTAACCACGTTGATTTCTGGGAAAGCTTAGCAGATTTTTCTGGTGACTCACGACTCTCCTTAGGCACACCTTGCATCAAAGTTCACTTTCCTCTGTGGTCTCATCATCTTCCTGATCAGAATACTAGGTACTCACTGAGTATCTTTTGATAGGGCAAGCAGGGCAAGCAGGGCAAGCAGAATTTCTTTTACATCTAGGGTCTCCTGCAAGCTTTAAGCGCTGGGGCCAAAATATTGGCTATCCATTTAGCCCATCTGTGTCTCTCATTTTTGATCTCTAAACCTTAGCCATTGGACATCCAGAAGAAAAGATTGATAACAACATGGTATATTAGAGGCAGCAAGCTTATTTGAGAGTATAGTGAGCTTATTCAATGATTGCTTGTCCAGTGGCATTATAGGGGATACAAGTTACATGACAAACGTTCCATGTGGAACATAAGGAAGCCAAAGCCTGTGAGGTATATGCTGGACCATTGTGAGTTTTAAGGAAGAAAGATACCCCCATCACTGCAAATGTAGTCAGGAGATGTTGAACTACATGTCGGGCATATTCACCATGCAGTGGTGAAGCCCAAATAAGACCAGAAATTGTATCAACAGAAACATGAAGAAATGAAAAAGAAATCAAGAAACAGTGTGTGACATGCTTACCAAGGGTCATTGGAACAGAGGCCATGAGAGTTGACAGCATCACAGGGAAAAGTGTGAGGCATGGCAGCACAATGGAAACCAGTGGAAATAAAAGCTTTAGCTTCAGAAGTTGGAATGTGAAACAATTTATGCAAGGAACAAGCTTATTGTTGAAAAAAGGCATGGCTTTGCTTAGTGTTATCAAAAAGAGGGTACATTACAGAGTAAGCCCAAGGCCAGACTGAACTGCATAGGGAGAACCTGCCTCAAAAGGCCAAAAAAAAAAAAGTGTGGAGGCCGTAGAGTATATGCAATCCTTGATCAGAAATAGCATTATCTTGCAAAAAGCCAGGTAGGTGTAAATGACTACATATATGTAAAGGAAAAAAAGCAGCATTGTGAGGGCAAAGAAGAATCTGTAGATGTAAAAAAAGACACTAAGTGTGAGTCCATTGCCACAGGAGAGATACAAACAGAAGATAACTTAGATGAAAACAGAAGAAATAAAACAGAAGAAAACTAGCTCACTTCTTAAAATCCATGCTCCCAGTGCTGGAACACCTGTTCACCTCCAGCACTCCATGCCCTCAGGACATTTCCCCGATGTTCTGTGCACCTTGAGCACTCCTGTATGGGCAGTTTTACATTCTGCTTTACATGTATGAACAATCACAAGCTCAGCAACTTTCAGCACCTTCTTACAAGCCAACTGGGCAAACAGGCAACTGATATGTGGACAGACTGACAAATATAAAATCAGAGTAAACTTGAGCATATCATTAATCAAGCTGAATTATAATACTTTCTTACAAATTTAGAATTTAAAACTACAAATAAACCAGTTGGATTTGTTATACACCAACTAGCATAGATCTGGTATAACAGGATACAAGGCTTGATTCAGGGAGAGGTGAGATGGTAGAATTATGTTGAGTAGCCTGCCGTACCAACTCATTCCATGCAGGGAAAACACAAGAAGCAGAAATCCACACAAGGCCTTGGCAATAACATAGAAGCATCCCATCTTACCCAGTTCAGTAGGGGCACTTGACGCTGCCTACATGGCTCTTGGGGTGTTTTATATAATATAAAATGCTTTGTTAGAGGTATACCCTCATGAAAATGTATTTGAATCAGAGAAGAAGAAAGCCTTGTAGGGAAAGACAAGTAACTGACAGTAAATAGCACCATGGACAGAATAGTAAAACTTGTGCAGGAAGAGCATTTTTCTCCTGTAATTGTTTCAAGAGAGGAGATTTGAGGGAATAATGATCTTGTTCAATGATAGTGTGGCCACTGGGATTAGAGGGGATACAAGTTACATAACAAATTTGCTATGTGGGACAACAGGAAGCAAAAGGCTGTGAGGTGTAGGCTGGACCATTGTCAGTTTAAAAAAGGAAGATATGCCCTTGACAGCTAATGCAGCCAGGAGATGTTGAATTACATGCTGGGCAGATTAACCATGCAGTGCTGAAGCACAAATAAAAACAGAAAATGTATCAACAAAAACTTGAAGAAATGAAAAAGTTTTAAGGAGGAACACTGTGTGTAGCATGTTACCATGAGTGGCATTAGAGCAGAGGCCACGAGAGTTGACAGCATCACAGGCAAAAGGGGGAGCCATGGCAGCACAATGGAAACCAGTGGAAATAAAAGCTCTAGTTGCAAAAGGTGGAATGTGAAACAATTTGTGCAAGGAACATGCTGATTGGTGAAAAAAGGCAAGGCTGTCTTTAGTGTTATCAAATGAGGGTAGACTACAAATTAATCTCAAGAGCAGCCTGAGCTGCATATAGAGACACTGTGTCAAAAAGACCGTGCCCAAA